TGAGATGCCTTTGAATAAAGGGACAGGTCTGGGTAGCTTCATTCCTAGTCTCTTCAACTTCCCTCTCTCCATCTTTCTGAAACTGTAGATTAACATTATTTTAAAATAGTATACAAACTGGGGGCAATAGGATCATGGTGGTTAAGGTGCTGGACTCCCACATGGCTGACCATGGTTTGAGTCCTGGACCTGGTGGCTTGCTTTCTCACTTTCTCTCTTCCCCTCTTTCTCTGTCTCTCTCTGATAAGCACACATGTACTATAGCAAATTTAAAAAAAAATTATAGTAGTGATAAATAAAATTAAATAATTCTTAAAAAATAGTATATAAGCTAACTTATTTGGAGATTTGTTAAGATTATCCTTTTTTGTGTTAATTTTTTGGGGGAAACCTATGATATGCCAAACATTAAACTTGATATGATATGATAACTTCCTGCCTAGAGTTTTGTTTGTCTATCTGTTTTGTTTGTTTTTGCTTTGTTTTCCAAAGTATTTGTCCTAGTTTCAGTTGCTGCTATATAATTTAGATGAGGAAACCTTATAATGCTCTAAAAAAAAGAGAGGATTAAAAAATATTTAGGAAGAACTATGTTACAAAAAAGTACTATGAGCTATTGGGTGCCCATCCCTGTAGGCACTGAGATACCAGGAGTGCAAGCACATACAGAAAAGGCCATGTGAGGACACAGTGATAGCCATGTGATAGCCAGCGAAGCCATTGGTAAACCAGGAAGAAAGACTTTAAGAGGGAACCAGCAGTTAGCGTAATGGCTATGTCTCTGGCCTCCCACATAGTCGACCGCCGTTCGCGTCCCGGACCCGGTGGCTTAAAACTCACACCGGGCGCGTGTGTGTGCATACCCAAGATCCCAAGAGGAGAATGGAGGAGAAGGGATTGCGGCATGACCATCCCCCCGGGGGGTGATTTCTTGCTTTCGGTCTCTATGTCTCTCTCTATCTGTCTGGTGAGCGCACGCGCCCTGTAGCAAAAACCTCTCCAAAAAAAAAAAAAAGAAAGACTTTAAGAGAAACCAACACTGGGTTGACACCCCAGTCTTGGACTTCTAGTTCTTAGGACTGTAAGAAAAAATAAATTGTTGTCATATAAATCAAGTAGTCTGTGGTATTCTGTTATGGCAGCCCTAGCAGACCAATTCTGAAGAAGAGAAAGCCATGAGGATATACAATAGTGCAAATCCAGGAAGGATTGTGCAACACATTGGCTAGAAATAACTTTCAATGTATGCTGAATTGGGCCCAGCCAGTGGTGTGGTGGTTAAAGCAGTTGGATCACACGTGGTCGACTATGTAGACTAAGTGACCTGAAAAATACACTGGCACAAGTGTGTTGTGCACCCAAAATCTCTGGTGAATGCATAATACTTCGTGGCAATTAACAAAAAAAAAATCCATAATTTGGGACACTCCTTTGATTTTAAAATGCTACTGTTAATATGTCACATGATAATACATGTTCACTACAGCCAAGATTCCAAAAAATTGGAGAGAGATATCATCCTAGAGGATATAATAGCTGAGCACCAGTTAGGGGACTTATTAAGGTCTCAGTTTTTTATTGAGAAACCTTCTCACCCCAGCAAAGAACTGGTTAGAACATACACCTCATCTTAAAGCATGTAAGAGTGTCCCCATTAGAACCACATAGAGAGTTGACTTGTATGTCCCCTGCTGTGCAATAAAGGTCTAAAGGGTGAGCTCAGTAGGCTTGAGGTGCTCAAAACCTACATGTTCCAAAGAAGGGTCTGGACTTTGGCTCCTGGGAGATTGCCTCTGAATCCTTGGAGTATCCTGCTTGATATGTGTCTTTGTATACCTAAGACCCTTGGGCCATGCCAGATAGTTTATGTTAACATTGTGAATTATGCTGATTTATTCATTTTTGTTCCTTTGCGATCCTAGGCCTTGCTGTATTGGTGTGATCTCCAGAGGGGCTGGAGACTAGCTAAAATCAATCATGTGGGCACTCCCTGTCTATGTAACTGACTCCTAGTAAAAACTCTGGACACTAAGGCTAGGGTGAGCTTCTGGTAATCTATTGTACATGTCGTTCCATAATTACTGATGAGAGAAGTAAGTGTGGTCTACACAACTTCACTGGAAGACAAAAATTGATATCCCTTTACTAAGTTTACACTGTATCCTTTCCTGTAATAAATTATAACCATATGTATATAACCATAAACTTTTCTGAGTTCTATGAGTCCTTAAAACATGAAAGTAGTCTTGGGAACCCTAGAACACCTGTAATTTTGAAACATTTGAATTCTTCCTGTAAAATCTAAAGGGCAGAATGAGGCTGCCTAGCAATTGCAACAGGACAAAGAGGCAAAAACTCTGTTCAGCGGCCTGCAGTCCCAGAGTTTGTAGATACAAAAATGTATAGATCTGATGTGATGTCATTTTCAATCTTCCCAAAAGATAGTTTCGTTTTTTGATTTTTGTTTTTTTCTGGGGTGGGGGGGGGTTGATTGGATCCCAACAGAGACTTCTGTCAATTAACAATTTGAAGGCTAAATGGAAGACAGCCACTTCTTGAATGTTCTTTGATCTCTGAAGAATGATGCATTTGTCCATGAGAGAATGAATCAGTTTTAAATATCTGCTAGCCACAGAGGGTGTAAAGCCAACTTACAAGAGTGTCAGTTAAATTAGAACTCTCTAACTCCAATTACTGTTCCTTCCTTCTTCCCATCCAAACCTGCAAGAGCCAGAAATAGCAGCTAAAAAAAGTGGGGGAGGCATGAGTGAACTTAAGCTAAGCAACTAACCAGTTATTTATTTATTTATTTATTTTTGCGTTTTCTTCAAGGCAGGTAGCCCAGCTACCTTTGAGAAGGGAGGAAAGGAAAAGTCTCACCTGTGAATGTAATTGACTGCTTTGGTTATTACATAGGGCTAGACCCATAAATGACTAAGTTAGAATGGTATTAATAATATAACATAGTAGTAATCAGTCTGATAGTAACCAGATAAATTATAGACCCTGCTTGAGGTAAGCTCTTACATTGATCAAGGAACTTGCTTGGCTGAATAAATTAAAAAGGGCAGAGAAAATAATAAATAAGATAATATTAAATGTTATTCCTGCTTATTAAATACCTTTGTTATGCTAATGATCTTAGCTCACATATTTAACTCTTACTTTCCAGTCAAAGTCTCAAAAGATAAATGCAATCTAAAATTGGGCAAAATAAATATATAGAAAGATGGAAAGGTATCATAATCAAAGAACCAGATATTTTCAGCAATTTCTAGAAGATCAAAACTGAAATTATTAGATTGATAGGAAAGTTGGTATCACCTAAGTAGCTAAAACCCAACTCAAAAGAAGAGGTTTACTAAGTGAATGGTGTATAAATTTTCCCTATATTTCTGGAAAATCCCCAAATTCAGATAGCAATGTTATAAGTAGGGATACACTTACAAGAAAGTCAGTAAGTAATTGAAGAACTTGGGAGTTACTATGTACGCACCAGACTGGAAAAAACTAAAATTCTGAAAAAAAGATTTTTTAAACAGATGTATCAAATTTATGAGTTTTTTTTTTTCTCCTGAGAGAATTATCTAACCCAAGAAAATATGAACTTTTTTTTGGAAAGTTTTAATAAGTGAGGAGACACAATAAAAATAAATCAAACTAAAAACCATAAAGGTATGAAGTCTAATGAGAGGTACGATAAACTAATAGTTCAAACAACTAGATATTAGGGAAATATCAGTACAATTTATAAGTAAAATAACCCATACAAAGAATTACATGTTACAACCCAGAATGTCCAAGGAGCTTCAAACCTTTAGCTTAATTTAAGGTGATCCAAGATTAGTAGTAAGCTCTGGTCTCTGGCAGAGACAAGCAAAAATTCTCTCTAGAGGAAAATACCTTTGTTTAGACATAGAACTTATTTCCAACATTTTATTTTTCAATACAGTGAAGAGCAGGTCATCGAAGATAACTAGGTCCATAAGGAAATAAAACACAGTGAGTAAAAATGCACAGGAAAACAGAAACTGCAGGATAGCATCTAATCTCAAGGTTGTTTCAAAGACCTGTACAAATCTATATGATCCACAACACCTAGACATAGCCCTTGCCTCTTTGCTTACTCCCCGCGACTCACACTGGCCTTCTTGCTGTTTCTCCGACATCCTGTATATTCTATTTCAGAGACTTAATCCAGTTACCTAGGCAGTGTTCTCCTTCTCCTTCATATCTTTGTTCAATTGTCTTTACCCTAACAAGGCTTTTCTAACTACTCTGTTGATAATAAAAGCTTTCTCCTAGTCTGTTCCCTTTTCCTGCTTTATTTTTTCCCATCATATTTGACATTCACCATATGCAATATGTATCTCCCATTTGTTTTATTTTATTGTTTGTCTTTTCCCATCAGAATGTAAGCTGTATGAGGTCAGAGAACTCTTCTTGTATTTTTTGTTCCTATGTCTATCAGGTCTAGAAGAATGCTTGGCACTCATACTCGAGACTTATTATAGAATAAATAAATTACTGCTTACATGTAAAGTGCAGAGACTGTCTCAAAAATCACTTAATATGTACTACTAATTATTACCATTATTAAAAATGAATAAAAGAATGTTGAACTGACCACCAAGGTAGATTCTAATTCTGGATTACTTTCATCAGGGCAGCCTCCCACAGTAATCTAATCTTTTACTGATGAGTTCTATGAAAATTATTTTACTTGAATGGGAAGAAATTGTTACCACTTCCCTTTTATACAAAGGTACAAAATAAGGATTTAATTTTTTTTATTGTTTTCCATGATAAAAGGGAAGATTCAAACTCCTGGAGTTTTGTTGCTACCGCAGTTGCTTTTAGAACAGATACAGGAAGGCTTCAGAAATTGTGCATATGGAACCAATGGCAGAGATCAGGGTTATCTATAAGCGTGTGATCTGTCCTGAAATTCACCACCAACAGGTCTTCCCCAGAGAAATCCCCATGCAGATGGCACTCACAGCATTTCCATTTTCAATCCAGGTGATGGTGGGGACAGGAATGCCTGTTGCTGTACAGCGCAGGGTCACAAAGGAGCCAAAGGTGACATTGTGGGATTCAGGAGCCCGCAGTATTCTGGCAAAAACTTAGAAAGACAAAAATGGTGAGTGACCCTACTATAGGGAATGGCCAAGCTAGAGTGGTCTTTAAAAAATGTAAATTGGGCCACGTTTCTATGTTGCAATCCTTCAGAATGTCCTTCTGTTTTAAGGGTAACACTGACTGCCATGTCCTGGCCTCCAGGCCCTCTATGTCATGACCATGTATTTCTCAACAGTCTGGGACACATGAGGCTTGTCCTTAATTTAGGAGCTTGCCCTTGCTAATCCTCTGCCTAGAAGCTCATCCCTCAGATCTTCATGTTGCAGGAAAGTATGAAGCCCCAATTAACAATCATTTAAGTGACAATTCCTTAGAAAGGCCCTCTTTAATTTCCCAATGTAAAGTGTAAACACTCCCCTTACTTTTTTTTTTATCATCCTAATGTGTTTACAGACTTTACCACTGTCTGAAATGATCTTTTCTCTTCCCTGTTATATTTTCTCTTTTTTTTTTTTTGAGATGTTTTTGCTATACTGCGTGTGTGCTCGCCAGACAGACAGAGAGACAGAGAGACAGAAAGCGAGAAATCACCCCTCAGGGGGGATGGCCAAGCCTCAATCCCTTCTCCATTCTCCTCTCAGGATCTTGGGCACACATGCACACGTGCCCTGCGTGAGTTTAAGCAACCAGGTCCGGGACTCGAACCGTGGTCGACTACGTGGGAGTCCAGTGACATAGCCATTACGCTAACTGCTGGTCCCCCCGTTATATTTTCTAAAACCAAAAATCTGACCTGTTTCATCACTGTTGTACTCAGTATTAAGAATAGCTGCTGACCCAAGACAGCACAGGATACGATTTTATTAAATTAAAAAAATAATTAGTACAACTTTAGCCCTCCACTGGTATCATAATGAAAAATAGACAAAATATGTCAAACTTTTCAGAACGAAATGACATAATGGGCAAAAAAAGAAAAAAAAAATAGTATACAAAGTGTGGACAGGAGAGTGGGTAATTTATATTTCTTCCAGAGGCTGAATACCTATTGATTAAATAAAAGGAAGTTCTTTTTATGTGAAAGGCATGTTACCTTTAACTAAAGAGTGTGGTCAAGACTCAGAATATACAGTAAATTAAAGGATACTTATAATCACAGAATCATTACGCTTAGAAGAGTCTTCAGCAATTAACAAGGTTCCTGCTCTTATTTTTATAGATGTGAAAACCGAATCCCAGTTAATTTGTTTTCTCAAGGTAATAAAGCTGATGGGTGAAAAACCTGAATTCAGAGCTTCTGACTTGGAATCCAGTTCTCTTTGAAATTGTGGACTCTTTTGGACTGCCTGTTATACTGTAAATACAACACTTTACGGTCCTGGCTTTTGTTTTCTAGGATGTAAGTGCAGATATAATATTAGAATATGAGGCCCCAGTTACCATAATAGTTGGAAACTTAGTTCTACTTAGCTAAAACTTGGATTCTACAGTAGAGGGAGAAATAGCGTATACTAGGCAGATGGTGCGCAGCACAATGGTAGGTGAAGTACAGAACTGTATTAGGAGTTGGCAAATTGTTAAAGACTTCTTAAAAGTATTACATAATTCAAGGAGAGAAAGACAATATGATTGGTTTAACAACTATGTGTTTTTAGCAGGTTTAGATTAATTCAACTTCCTATTTTTTGATGTTAAGAACTTTAAGAGATAGAATCTAGAAGAACATTTTAGATATACAGATGTTGGGCTCAAAGGCCAGGAGAAAAAGGACAGCAAGAAAAGTGCTACCTTCAAAGAAACAAGTGGTTAAAAAGGTTTTTTAAATATTTAAAATGTAGCTGAACCTGTCTCCTCAAAAACTAAAACTGGATCTGCTTTTGTGTAAGTCCTGGGAGCTAAATACCAATATACAAAACAAACAAACAAACAAACAAACAAAACAGAGAATTGAGGGACATATTGTGTAAAACCATGGACATGCAGTATGATCAAATCTAAATTTAACAGGGAATTTCAGTTTTTTGGTTTTCTCACCAAATAGTGTCAGCAGAAACAAGGAAGAGCTATCTAGTGCAGGCTGAAAGAGACTTAAGAGACGTGTTGCCCAAATGGCCTGTGTGGCTTCGTTTCAATTCTTATTCAGCAAATGAGATGTAAAACAATGTTTCTGAAGCAATCAAGTTAAAAATTGCACAGTCAGGATGGTAAATATAATAGTGCTAAGAAATTCACAATAATTGGGAATGAATGGAGTAATAAAAATGGTAATATGATTATGTTTTTAAAAAGTCTTTATCCTAAAGTTCATATAGTTTCATTAAATTAATGTCTGAGATTTGCTTTAAAAAAACCCTGTCAACAGAGAAAATTGGATATCCATTTGCAGAAGAAAGAAACCAGCCCCCTTATCTCTCATCATATAAAAATAAAAATCAGTTCAAAATGGGGACTTGCAATTGGTGTAATGGCTATGTCACTGGACTCTCATGTAGTTGACCACAGTTCAAGTCCTGGATCCGGTGACTTAAAACTCATGCCGGGTGCATGTACGTGCATGCCTAAGATCCTAACAGGAGAGGAGAATGGAGGAGAAAGGATTCTGGCATGGCCATTCCCCCTGGGTGGTGATTTCTCGCTTTCTGTCTCTCTGTCTCTCTCTGTCTTTCTGGTGAGTGCACGTACCCTAGAGCAAAAACCTCTCCAATAAATAAATAAATAAATAAATAAATAAATAAATGAATGAATGAATGAATGAATGAATGAATGAAACAATTTATGTATAATTGAAAATAGTGAGGCCAGCAGTTGGTGTAATGGCTATGTCACTGGACTTCCATATAGTCGATCACAGCTTGAGGCTCGGACCTGGTGGCTTAAATTCAGGGTGTGTGTACGTGCATGCCCAAGATCCCAGGAGGAGAAAGGATTGCAGCGTGGTCATCCCTGCTGGGGGGGTGATTTCTGTCTCTCTGTCTTTGTCTTTCTGGTGAGCACATATGCCCTGTAGCAAAAACCTCTCAAAAAAAAAAAAAAAGCTAGAAGAAAGGATCTTGAATATTCATAATACAGAGTAATTATAAATGTTAGAGATGATGGTATGTTTATTGCCTGAATTTGATTATTACATATTATATGCATTTATTGAAAAAAATCACATTGTACCTTCTAAGTATGTACAACTATTATATGTCAATTAAAATTATTTTAAAATTCACTAAACAATTACATCTTTTAAACAGAAAAAGAAGAAAAATGGTCCTTATGAATTCAGGGGATTAGGTCTGTTGTGGATATTTTTTCCCACTACTTTAAACTCTGTTACTTTGTAAATAATTTCAAAATAAATGTTGCGTCATGTGGCAAAACAGAACAAAATAAACAAAAACCAGCAAAGATACAATAATAGGTAGATGACATGGAAATGGCAGAATATTGATCACTGCTAGCGCTGGGTAATGAGAACATGGGGGTTTACTGTACTAGTGTACTTCCTTGTTTGTAAGATTGAAAATTTTGTAACATTTAAATAGAAAGAAACTGCATTGCAGCCTAACCCCCTAGCCCCCCCGCCACACACACACGAAGAAAAAGGAGAAGAAAAAGAAAACTAAAAAGAAAACTGTGATGGGACACACAATTCTGTTGCAATGAAATGTGTATGTTACTAGAAAACCTAAAACTGAAGTAAATTGAGGTTCTGAGGAAACATGTAGCAGAGAGATCAGTCCTGGGAGCTTCCGAAATCTAAGTTTTAGATCAGAACACTGCAGAGAATGATTCTAAGGTTCAACAAAATGTGATCAGGAAATTTTCTTCAGCAGCTAATATTTATGACATGAAAATTCCATAGCAAGACAACTACTGTAGCCACTATAGTCAGCAGGGTTGGCTCCACAAGTGAGTGGCCTCTGTAGTCCAAAAGGGCACTAGATTTACAAGGCCTTGTTCTGGGTTTAATGTTTCTGTATGTGTGCTTTCGAATTTTCATTTATTTTAATTTTTATTTATCTGCTTATTTAGTTTGCTAGAGGGCACATGCTCTTGCAGGAGAGAGACAGAGAGAGGGAGGGAAAGTGAGAAAGCAACCCCTATGGGAGATAGCCATGTTGCAATTCCTTCTCCATCATTTCTCCTTTTGGGATTTTGAGCACACACACACACACACACACACACATGTGCCCAGTGTGTTTTTTAAGCTGCTGGGTCCAGGACTCAAACCATACTCTCAGCCATGTGGGATGCAGGTGCCTTAATCACCATACCACCAACTGGCTCAGTCTTACTAATTTTTAGACACGGGGCCTCACTTTTTCATCTGTTCCTGACCCACAATTTATAGAGCTACACCCCAGTAATCAGTCTTGAAAAAAAATGCCGGCTTATATGAGATCCAGTCTAGTGGCATAGTCAGTGGCAAACTGAACTGCAGCGCTAGAAGCCACATGGCCACCTGCTGCTTCAGCTCTCTGGGTCAGCCTGCAAACCTGCCCGGTACATGCATGTGTGCCCAAGACACTGTGATATATACATAGATGACCTGGTAGGCTGGGGAAAGGAGACAGTGGAGTGATCTAACCCTGCTGAGAGTGCTATTCCCTCTCTCTCTCTTTCTCTCATGCAAGTGCTATGATGAATAAAATAAACTTTGGGACAGAAAGAGGGAATTAAGGCAGAACTCCTACTTGGTAGTATAATATATCTGGGAAAACAGGGCCATAAGGTGACCTGGAAAATGATATAAATATGCTGGATGAGTCTGAAGGAAGAAGTATCAATCAAGATTAAGTGACAGAGGCTGTCCCCACTGAAAATTCTAAACTCCTCAAGAAGACCAGCAGCCTGGAGGCAGTGTGCATTTCTTCCAGATATGCCTTAGTGGTAAATATGGTGTTCCATTTGATCATATTATAGATTTCTCTCAATTTAGTGTAAATTCAGAGGCTGTGAACTCCTGGCAACTAACATTAGGACTGGCACCCTTGCAAAAGTGCAGCTAGGTACTCTCCTTTTCTACTCTTCTGGTAAATAATGGAGACCAAGGCTGCACAACATATTTGAGTCCACATGGTCATTTGGCAGAAATAACTTCTGTGACAATTGTCCTAAGAAGTTTGAGTCTAAGACTACTACAGTGATCATCTGATAGGTTCCATTGCATCTGAGAATGTGAAAAAAAAAAAAAAAAAGGAGGATACTTGAGAGATTTGGAATTGGATCACTTCAACCTCCTAGGTGCTGGAAAAGTGTGGACAGCAGCTGCTGAAGATCACATTGACTGTATCCTTAAATGGGAGCCATCTGGCTGAGGATGAGCAGAATAAGAAACTGGAGAAGAATGTGATCTGAATTTTTTTTTCTGCTTTAATTTATAAAGGCAAGTGTTTTAATTGGGGGACTTTAAATTCTTCCTGAAAATGTAGTAATCGGAGAGTTTATTTTGTTCTAATTTATAACCTTTTTCTTTTCTTTTGGCTGGTATTACATTATTTGGCATATCATCTAAGGTCATTGCAAAACTTCGGATGATCCACGTTGCACAACATGGGTAAGCATAATGTGAGATAGTAAATAAAACAGAGTCAATTGCCTTTCTAGAGGTCAGTGTGACTTTGGCGTTCATTTAAAGTACTTACTACTCTGCCTTACATCAGAACCTCTTATCTATCCAATTATGTATTTATCTGCCTGTCTCTAAAACTCTGCATGGTCCATTGTATGTACTCAGTAAGTATCTCCTGGATGAGTACCTAAATGAACGAATGAAGGGCTTCTCTGGGGAGCTGGTTCCTAGGGCACAGGAAGGCACAAAGTAGTACAATTGCCAATGAAGGGAGTTTTGTGAATGAGAGGCTGTGCTGATGAACTGCTAGTCTCCTTCCAAGGAGGGGACAGAGATGCCTTGGCTGACCATGGGTTTCACTGGGAAATGTAATAGATTAAGGGGGAAAAAAGGCCTGAGATTAGAGGAAAGCAGGTCTCTCCTGCACTGTCACATACTCCTCAAAAGAAAAAACCGAAAGTCAATCCCCTTTTTTCAGTATTGAAAGAGAGCTTCCTGCCTGCCTTACTTCCTTCCAGTGATTCTCCCTTTTCAAAAGAGGTTGCAGATATCTTCTGGGTTTCAATTCAAATGTCTCCTTCACATAAGGCTCTCCTCATCCCCCTACCCTATTTATGTTTCTTTATAGCACTTACCACTATCTCATTACTGCTGATTGATTGAGTGATTGATTGATTGTCTCTCCCTCTGATATGCAAGCATCAGAAGGGCAAGGTTTGTTTTATTCACTAACAGACTTATCAATCAATCAATTTTTTTAATTGCCAGAAGGTGGGCACACTCAGTAGACACACACACACACACACACACAGAGAGAGAGAGAGAGAGAGAGAGAGAGAGAGAGAGAGAGAATGGAACAATGGGACAATGAGTAAAAGCACCCTTATGGGTATGGCCATACTGCAGTCTCTTCTCCATTTCTCTATTCTGCTGGGATTTGGGGCATACATACCAGTTGTATTTTTCAAGTCACCAGAATGGGAACCATAGTCAGCCATGTAGGATCTGGTTTCTTTAGTCACTAGGCTATAGGGCCCAGTTCTAGCTAGCAAGCTATCTCTGTCTGTCTAACCTTCAGAACCCTGCATGGTACATTATATGTACTTGATAAGCCCTGAATGAAAGAAGGCATACATGAATGTGTGAGAGACTTCTCTGGTGAGATGGGTAAAGGGACTTGTATATATTACATATACTTCAGCCATTCTCTGGGCCTCATCCTCCCAGCTATCCTGCATGGAAGGGCAAGATGGGGCTCACCAGGCTGGGGCTTCTCTATCCTACAACAAGGAGGTTAAGGGGAAGAGTGGTGAGGATGATGAAGAAATAGAAGCTATGTTAGCCTAATTCTTAGAGTGGAAAATTCTGTATTTCAGTCTATCAGCAGTAAAGCTGACATGTATTTACCCATCTGTATTTGTTACCAAGTCCAATGAAATCTGAAAGGGTATTATAGAAAATTCCAACATTTATCAATCATTGAAAGAAGTTCAGCTGCAACTGGAAATAAATGCCATATGAACTAAGGATAATAATACAACCGCAATAGCAAACTTGTTGGAATTTATTCAACAGTATATTCCATTATTTTAGTGATAAACACAAACTGAAAACACATTCTAGGTCATCAATTTAAAAAGCAGTATGTCTCTTATTAAATGAAATGCACATTGAAAAGCTCTATTTGGGGACCATCAGATCGTATAATGGTTATGTCACTGGATTCCCACGGAGTTGATCGCAGTTTGAGTCCTGGACCCGGCAGCTTAAAACTCACACTGGGTGTGTGTACATGCGTGCCCAAGATCCCTAGAGGAGAGTGGAGAAGAAGGGATTGTGGTGCGATCATCGAGGGGTGATTTCTTACTTTCTGTCTCTCTCTCTGTCTCTCTGATAAGCATATGTCCCCTATATAAAAAATCCCTCTCTCTCAAAAAAAGCCCTATTTTACCTGAAAATATAAAAATGTTTTGTTATATAAACGATTAAGTTACTTAATAGAAAGAGCAGAGAATTACTCAGTAAGTTGGAAAATGTAATTGTTTTGATGTGAATTTCTGAAGAAAAATGTTCTCCAACTCTTCTTTCTGTATGAAATGTTATCCATCTTTCTTTAACTGCAGATTAAGAATCCTATATTCAAAATCAGGCTTAAGCAGGCAGCGATTCTAAAATCCCTTGCTACATAACCATATTATAGCCTCTCTCTCTCCCTCTGTCCATCTTTTAAAGTATTTTCGAATGCATAATCTATTTTATTATTGGTATCACTTTAAGGGATAATATCAGCAGGCTTCAGCAAGTTTGTGGAAAATGCATATTGTGGAAAAACTATGCATGGATTTGAACATTTTTTCACACCAAAACACACTTATACTTCGATTCCATTTTTACACAGACTTTTTGAAGTTCCCTTATATGTACGAAGGTGGTGAAGCCATTATTGACACTAAAATTGCACTGGTACGTAACTGAAACCTCAAAAGGCAGGGTCCCCAGTTTAAGTCCTGAGACTAAAGAGTAGTTTGGCTTGGGATGAATCAACACTCCTCTTTTGGTAAGGGAGCAGTTCCAGATGACTACTTAAATCTCTTACTGATTTCCATTTCTGAGCAAGTCTTCCAAGAGACACAGTGAGTTTGCACGGATTTTACTTCCTCTTGCTCTTTTCTTTCTTATTTTCCAGCTTCCCTTAAAGAAGGTTTCTCTAGGTTATTTGTTTTAAAGCATCAGTGACTGATAAGAGTAAATTAGAAACAGACAAAAAAGAACAACACAAACAAACAAACAAACAAAAAACAAACCAAAAAAACCCCAAAACCCTAACTGGAAAAAAAAAAGAGAAAAAAAAAATCACATACACCAAGTGAAATGCATTACCAGCATTTAATTTAAGCCACCTAGTATTTATTGTAGACATAGGGAAAAATTCCAAATACTTTGAGAATACTGTGATAAAAGGGTACTGTTTTGAATAATATCAGCCTAACATTAATTTCTAGAGTCCAACTGTTATTACATGAAACTTGTATATTTCATCCCCCAAGTATAACGTTTAGTTTAGTATGCTGAGTGCAAAATTTAATGCTTAATCAGGGCTCAGAGTATTTTCTTTGACAGAAAACTCTTGTTTTACAGTAGGGTTTTCCCCAAACAAATTTGATTTTTAGCCACTTTTCCTCTAAGCATATTCTACTAAATTTATATATGTGCATGCAATTAAAATGAAGTGCTATTTATTGATTTGGAGTAATTGCATAATACTCCTCATCTTACAGAAATATTAGCAATAAAAACCTAAGCTGACACCTTGAGATTTTAACATTTCTCTAAAATTTATAAAACTATACCACCCCAAAGAGAAGTCTTTTAGTAAAAGGTACCTTCTGTTCCAATCTGTGGGTTTAGACTATCAGGCTGATTCATTTAATCTCGTTTTGTTTGTATTTCCAGAGGTTGGGATGGCAAATGTCAATATTTATGTTGACTCAGACTTTTTTCTAAGCAGCGTAAATGGTCAATAAGCATTATATAATATAGCAGCCCATCTAATAGCACCGTTAAATGCTGTGACTTAAAATTCCCCATGCATTGTTTGTTATTTCTTAGCAAACCAATGGCACTTAGAGTTGTTCACAAGGTCAGCAAAAATAAACAGTTGAAAGAACCATAGTTTGTAAAGAAAAGAAGCAACGCAGAAAAGAAATACCTTTAGTATCTTGCTCAGGTTCGCTTTCTTCTATTAATAGAAACGAGACAAAACAGACCAACACAATAAACACACAAACAAAACAACACGTCATGAAAAGGGAACTCTGACCATAGAAACACCAGTTGTGCCACAAAATTAATTTGAAACTTCTTGTTTCTTATTTCAAGAAGAAACCAATTCAATCGAGGGAAACTGCTGACCTTTTACAAGCAAACTCTTACATGACGTAAGATTTCAAATCACGACTTTCAGCAGGCAGTATTATACAGAAAAACGGCAGCATACCCCATAACAGAGCTCATTCATGCGCTTTTATTTTAATGTTGACAATTACCCTTTTCTTTCAAGGCAACAGAGTGCCTGCTATTCTCATAAACTGTGCTCCCCCTTCAGCTTGGCTTCTCCTCTTACCAGGCCCTGCTGTGCAGTCAGTGATGTTCAATCTGGGATCTCAGCTATCATTTCTATGGCAATAGACCCATGTTGTGATAAACAGAGGATTAGGGGGTTTCTGCACAGCACAGTCTACCACCAACAGAGATCGTCAGCTCTGTATCAACACCCAGAGGCTTTTCAGAGAACAGAGAGGTGCAGCTCATTATCTTCTGGGAACTGAGCACCCAAGCAAGTTATAAAGGAAAAGTGAAGATGTCTACATTGGCTATAAAGGAATGAGAGTGTATAAATTGTAAAAAAAAAATTAGAGGCAACAAAAATACTCCAAATATTTAGTATAACTATATTAGGCATAGATCCCAAATGGGACTCTATTTTTCTTTTCCGAAGGTGTATTTACATGTCAATTTAGATTTTTCAAGATAAGTCAACTGCAGTATTTGTTTATTACTGAAAAAGTACGATTTCATTTTTATAATTATAAGAATACACTTGCATAGTTCTTTACAGATTATGGGCATATTCATGCACATTGTATATTATCTAGTTGAACTCTCACTATATCTTTGTGATTGAACATAATTGATATTATCGAGAACATTCCAGGCAAAGACTCTCAGACTCAGGGATTGCTGCAGGTGCAGAGCCTAGAATTTAACCTGTTTTGTGCTTTCTCAGCACAGTGAAAAAGTCTAATTTTTACATTTAACAGTCAGTTCTCTTAAATTAAACTGAACATATCATTTCCAATTTAAATTTTACTCTGTTTAAACTTTCTCTACCTCCACCAATCAAGTAGGTGACACATTCTTATTTTATATTTTAGGTGTCAAGGTAAAAAAAAATGCTTAAAGCTTCTAAATTGAATGCATTTATGCTTAAAAAGGAGATTCAGAAATTGCTTATCAAATGTATTGGGTCCTTGGGGAAGTCATGATGCATATTTTTGCACAGAAAACCATAGAAAAATACATCATGGCTTTCCTATGACCTTACCTCTAAATGAAGATATCATTTTTTATAACATTCCACACAATGCCTTGTCAAATATAAGAAGTGTTAAATATCTTTTTCCTCCATACTTAAAACAACTACCCAAGTGAAATCTTGAAAACTGCAGATTCTATGTTTGTATTCATAGATCTTGATCAAAAGAAATTAATGAAGGTCCATGTTGGGCCAGATTAGGCCTGAAAAAATCATGTTTGAATGCCATTGGCCTGGGCATGTCTTTCTACTTTCTTAGAACAATGTGCTGTTTCTAAGCTTTGAATAAAACTTTTTCCTATTTTTTTTTAACCGCATAAGTTAAGTATTATTGAATGCTTGAGATAACCATGGGAATCCTATATGAATGATAAGTGTTTGTATCCCATAGCTGTTGTATTTTCAAAATTTCGGTCTACTAAATCTGAGAAGCATCATTAATTCTTATTCACTTGTCATTTTCTTATCTTATACTACTTTCTCCCCCGGGTTTCTAGGCCAATTCTGAGTTTCCTTTCCATTTTGCTTCACTGAATTTTTACTACAATATACTGGAACTGTTACACATTGAGCCTTGGCCTAGCTTTGGACAATGCTGATTTTCCTTTGATATTTTTCACTTTGTTATTATTATTGTTCATATCACTTTATTTGAGATCAGAAAGAGTGAAAAGTCCACTACAGAAAACAGAACCAACCCAAGACATGGAAGTATGTCTAAGACTTGTTTTGCCCAGGGGCTTAGGAGTTTTGCTAAAAATTACGTTTTCAGGTATAGACTCTCCAAATTTTTTTTATTCACAAATGCAAATATACATCTTAATGCATACATATTTAAATATACTTATGCATTAACATGCACACAAGTGCACACATTCACACACATGCACACACAATTGAGAAGGTTACGTTAAATTAGAGAAAATTTTATGTGTGAATAATCTGTGAAGCCTATTATGGGTACACCCATTCAGTATAGGAGCTTGCTGATCATTTCAAGATCAAATGGTAGTCCTGGTTTCTCTATGTGTACTGTTTGCTTAGTCTACTATAGCTCCTTCTTGACTTCTGAACTTGTTTTACTATTTATCTTTTTTTTATTAGAGAGATTTTTCCTATTGGGCACATGTGCTTCCTGGAGAGACAGACACAAAGTGAGAAATCATCCTCCCACACTGCAATCTCTTCTCCAGAATCCTCTCGGGATCTTGGGCATGCATGCACATGCACCTAGTTTGAGTTTTAAGCCACTGGATCCAGGGCTCGAACCACAGTCAACTGTGTGGGAGTCCAGCAACAAAACCATTACGCCCTTTGCAGGTCCCCATTTATCATTTTTAAAATATTCTGCTTTATGGTCTTTATTCCTACCTAATTGCTAAATTATTTAACTGCTTTTATGTAATGTGTTGGTGTTATTTTCCAAATCATTCTGTAATCTTTGGGTGTGAGGATAAGAAGTTAAGATAAGAATCACACTAGGATTGGTATCCTACTATTTTTTTTCTTTTTTTGCCTCTAAGACCCACAGTCTCATGTAGAAAATACACATATTTATATTTAAAAAGTTATTTGCCAGTGGACTGGTGATGCCCTTTCATTCTGCTTTCTCGGTATTGTCCCGTAGGACATTTATAATGGAGAATCAATAACTACCCTGATTGGAAAAACTGAGATATATGCTATACACTGCAACATCTAAGTTAAATAGCAACCCATTATTTTCTTCAATCCTTTTGGTATGGAGAATTCAGTACCATATAGCAATCACTTTAAATGACTCTGTTTAAAAAAAGAAAAGGACTATTTTTTTAAACCAAATCAAAACCAGCCTCCTTATAATTACTACAAGATCAATTTCCTACTTCTATCCACTGGACAAGAATGAAAACCAAACCTCTCAAATACTTTTATGTTTCCCAATTTGATAACCACAGTTCGACATTCTGATTGCTAACCTAGTCCCTCTTATCTTGCAGTACTCTGAATGAAAAGTAACACATACTAGGAGTCTAACAAATTCAAAGACTAGCAAGATTCTCTCAGTATTCCACTTTTATGAACATAAATTTACATCATTTTATTTGCAGTTTTCTAATACTGTTAGCTCACTGATTCCTTTGAAAATCATATAAATCCAATATTCACTTTTATTCTTGCTCTATTTATGGTTTATTTCCTAAGTTTGAATGTGATGAATGTGTGTGTGTGTGTGTGTGTGTGTGTGTGTGTGTGTGTGAGCAAGAGAGAGTTAGTTCTAGTAAAGATAATATAGGTTTCTCCTACTCAGTTCACTGTATTGGTTGATTAGAGAAGGAGTTTGGAGGGAAAAATCTATTGTTATTTAGGAGGAGGGAGAGCCATCAGGTTTCCCTGATAGAAATAAAAGGAATGCATTTAGTGAAGTCATACAGGTTATGCAAATCTTATGGAGAGAAAGAGACAAGACAAGAAGAGAAAACAGGCCGAACTGTGGAAAGGTTTGCATTCTTAAGACCATGGGAATCGGTGGAGCCAAGAAGATGATGAAAGTTTGTCTATACAGCGTCTAGTTCTTAGAGGAAGCTGAAATCACATATTCTTTGCTCTTTGTTGGATGGCATTGGAACTACTTCTTCTTGGCAATGGAGTTATCATGAGAAAAAAATAGACAAATAAAGCAAACAGAACTTAGAGGTGTAGCCAAATAAGATCTGGCTAGTACCACCTTGGGAGAATGCTGGAGAGATGTTTTGGGAAGGTTTGTGCAATAATCAAATATTGAAATCATGATGGGAAAGAATTTTAAATATGTATAAAAGAGCTCCTTTGAACATAGGCATTCCAGAGTGTTTCCAGTATTCAACTTCTTATCTCAGTGACTAGGACTAAGTCCATGGAAGTAATAAATCACATAGTTAAATAGAATATAAAGCTTAAGAGAAAAGACTTTGAATCTAGGCTGATGGATTGGAAGTCCTGCTCTACAATTCATTTCTAATAGGGTATTTATGTTATAGAGGAGAGCTATTAGTGGGTGTGTGTTTTATTTGGAAGTAGTTCTTAATTAGCATGTTTGTTCAAGTAGCTTTGGAGTTGATATTCTTATGTTTATAGATGAATTAAAGTATCATCTTTAAATAGCAATACCTTTTACTTTAAAAAATGTACATCTTTATTATATTCCACTGGATAGAATGCACATAATGATATATGATAATTATAGCACGAAGACTGCAAATCAAGATGAGTGCTGTGGGTTCACAATTCAAAGTCACCTAGCAAAAATAAGTACACTGCAATAAAAAGAAGATATAATTTTGTTACCTAAAAAGACAAAGCCATGTACAAGAACAAGATGACTATTTCAATAAGAAAGTAGACAAAGCATGATAGGTAAGTAGGAGCTGTTGGGCTTAGGTTCTCTAAACAGGAAGATGAGGATTCAGATTTGTTGTCTCTAGTGGTGTACCTCTTGAGGTGGGAGATTGGAGGCTCATTACCTAAAACCAAAGGACAATAGCTAAGCTTTCTTATATATGAAAAGGAAAAGAAGGAAGAAGTTGTGGTATTATAGCCAGGACATGTGTTATACATTTAGCTGTCTGAGTGACTGGATCTGGGTTGAACTCAAAAGTGTTACAGACAGAATGGGGGCCCTAACC